TCTCCCATAGACAGTCTCTCCATTAATTTGACGACAGAGGATTTGAAGAATTGCCCTTATGTTACTTAACAGATATGTCTTCACTTTTCTTTATTGTATAGAGAGCCTCATTCATGATCTGGAAGCTCCTATCATCTCTTATGTAGCATTTTACTCCTTATTGTGCCATGTGTCAAAAAAGACACTTGATAGAATGGCTAATCTGATGCCCACCCCCCTGCACTTTATCACCCATCCCATTCCTAAGTTAGTTTCCAAGTTGGGAACATTGTGTTTTACAGGTTTGGTAAAGATTTCTGAAATGGATTGCCTTTCTTAACATTTTAAACACACCTAATTCCATGGTAGTGGTTATCAATTGCAAATAACTACTGTGGTCTCGCCTTTGCTTGCTTGTTTTCAAAATGATTACATTAAAATGTTATGCAAAAAGCACATTTTGTTGTTGTTGTTGTTTTTGTTTTGTAATTATTTGAGGGTCTTGGATTGAGGTGTTGCAGAATATTGACACTGAAAGCTTTGGTCAAGTCCCGTACTTAGATGTGAAAAGTCCAGTACTTAGATGTGAAAAGTCCCGTACTTAGATGTGAAAAGTTCCGTACTTAGATGTGAAAAGAAGTGAAGACTTGCCTTGCTGTCTTCACACAGTAACAGTTGCACTGACTCACTGAGAAATACCTGCTGGAACCTGTACTTGGCTCTCTGAGCTGTACTACCCCAGCTGCTTAAAGAATGCACTGGTACAAAGGATTGGCAGATTGTTTAACCTTTAGGTAAAAAGTTTACCTAACCAATAATGTAACATGTGGTTAAACCTACATCATGGTTCAAAGAAGCAATTTAGCTTCCTTTGAACAGTGCCAAAGGTGGTCATATGCTTTGAAATAACTATTTTGCTTTGGAGTTTTGAAATAAAATTAGTTGCCTGACCACGTAAAGTAAGATTTAAAGTAGGTTTATTTTCATAAAGTGAAAAAAAAAAGACAAAACAAAACAAAAAAACAAACGAACAAAAAAATCCCAGGATATTTGTGGGTGTTTTTGTTTGTTTCCAGTAGTATGGTTATTGTTTTATTTTAAATCCAGGTCTTGCTCTTGCTGAGTTCTGGGACTTGGATGTAATTCTATCAGTTAAATATTCTCACTGTTGTGACTCATATTGGCTAGAGCAAAGACATCTCCTATAACATGGAACAAATTTTGCATTCTGGCTCCTTGATGATCTTAAACATCTGCACCCTGAACAAACACACCAGAAGGCTTCAGTTTCAAGCGGAGAATCTGGCATTCCCCATGTTAATCTCATCAGCAACCCAAAAGAAGATGCATATTGGGAAATACACTGGTTGGTTCCTATTGTTCTGGTTGCTGGTTGGCTTTGGCACCATTTAAGGACTCTGGGATCTCTACATCTCTGTTCCTTCATCAAAACTCAACAAAATGGAGGGTGAAGATGGGGCTTTGGCTTTTTGCTTGTTTGCTTGTTTTGGAATTCTCATCCATTTGCACATTTACTTTGGATCTCTCCATTAAATGTTTTGTTTCCTGGGTAAAGATAATAGGATTTCTGGTCTACGTGACACTGTGAGGTTGTCTAAGTCCAAAATTTAGTGCTCTTTAACGCCTAGCTGGTTGATATGCTCAAGCAGAATGGCACTGTCAGAATAAAGCTGGTCTATCTAACCTTTACCACACAGGTCTCTCATACCCTTAGCCTTAACGCATGCTAGCAGTTTTCTCCTTCTCCTGGCAAATTTGCAGAAGTAACCACTGCCTTTTTCCCCGGAACCGAATCACAGTAATTACTTTCTCAAGTCAATGTCTCATAATTCTCTTGGTTCTGTCATACATATTCTGGCCTCAAATTATTGTGTCACGTAAAACATGTACAAAGAAGGAAGACATGCTTTTCAGCAGAATCAGAGGGGTAAGGGCAGTGTCCAGAGAAGGAAGTGGGGATGTGAACCATCCAGGCCCCTACCAGAACATGAAGATAACTTCAGAAGTTCCCAACCACCAGAATTTGTCCCAGAAGAGGCTTGAAACCTGAACATCTGCCTCACCAAACCAACTGAAGGAACCTCGAAGCCTAAGAGCTTAAAAATTAGATGCATGGCCTTTTCCCTGTTTTCGTGAAAGTCATTCATGTGGCATGCTAAATACATTATTGTTATATTTATTTTTTAAAACTTGATTTTCATGATTTTTTTTTCCCATTTTATTTTTTTCTTCATGGAATCCATGACTTGGATCAGAAATTTCTGTCAGTTACACTGGCTAAATGTGGATACTATTGATATTTGCAGAGATGAATCTGACATTTGCAAACTTCATTTTGAGAGCAGATTGGGAGTTACTTTACTTGTTCTTGTTTGCTTGTATTTTGCTACATTTTTTTTTTCTGTCGGTGTGCCTTCACTCTTAGAAATGTATAATACTGGGCCCAGTACAGTAGCCTAGTGGCTAAAGTCCTCACCTTGCACATGCCGTGAGCTCCTATGGCACAGGTTCTTATCCCAGTGGCCGGCCTCCTGTCCAGCTCCCTGCTTGTGGCCTGGGAAAGCAGTCGAGGAAGCCCCAAGCCTTGGGACCCTGCGCCTGTGTGGGAGACCCAGAGGAGGCTTCTGTCTCCTGGCTTTGGATTGGCTCAGCTGTGGCCATAGCAACCACTTGGGAAGTGAAGCAGCAGACAGACGCTCTTTTCCCTGTCTCTCATCCTCTCTGTGTATCTGACTTTCCAATAAAAATAAATAAGTGCTAAAAAAAATGATTTTTAAAAATGTACAATACTAACTAGAAATTTCTGGAGCTTCCCCTGTCCCCGCTTGAATCATAATTTTATTAGAGAAATATCTCCATCATTATTTTCTTATATAACAGCTACTGTAATTTTGTGGACAGGATGGTTTTTATTGGGCACTTAAGAAGATAGAACTTGTTTTATGTATCAGTCTCCCCCACTTTTTTTTTTCCTTTATAGATTTATTTCTTATAGTTTTAAGTCAGATTTGCAGAAATAAGAGACAGAGAGATCCTCTATCTGTCGATTTACTTCCCAAAAGGCCACAATGGCTGGAGCTGAGCCAATCCCACGCCAGGAGCCTGGGGCTTCCTTCTGGGTCTCCCACGTGGGTGCAGGGACCCAGGGACTTGAGCTATCCTCCGCTGCTTTCCTAGGAAGATTAGCCTGTTCCACCACCACGCTGGCCTAATCAGTTCTCCTCATACTCTAGTTCTGGTGTAGTTCCATATTGTATGTGCGCACAGGACCAGCTGGAAGGCTTATGGCTTTGGTAACATTTTGTTTACTATAGAACAGAATTCAAGGATTAGCAATATCATTGAAAATACACCTGGTTTTTTTCTCATTAGTCGCTGACCCCTGCGCCTGTTGTATCTGAACAGTTCTGAGCGAGTTGTCAGCAGGCTCCAGGCCATGAGTGCAGAGGGCCAGAAGCCAAGTCCCTGTGCTCACCAACAGCTGATTTCTTAAATGCATTTTCTTAGCTCTCACAATCCCTCAGATGCCATCAAGCTACATTTTCCTCAATCATAGGTAGAATTTTTAAAAAGTTAATCACATTCATGACTAATTTTCAGTATTAGCAAAACTTGATTATGGATTTTAAATAACTTTTATAAAGCATTGTAGATGTAATACTTTTTATGAAAAAAGTTAAGAAAAATACCTCCTCTTGCACCAATACCGTGTTGCCTTATATTACGTCATACCTGGTAATGTCAAAAACCCAGGTTTCTGGAAGGTTCTGTTATCCTTCCCCTAGTCAGAAAACACTGGTGACTGTGTTAAATTCCAGTACATTTTTTTAAAGATTTATTTTATTTTTATTGCAAAATCAGGTATGGAGAGAGGAGGAGGGACAGAGGAAGATCATTCTGTCCGATGATTCACTTCCCTAGTGGCCGCAACGGATGGAGCTGAGCCAATCCAAAGCCAGGAACAAGGAACTTCTTCCGGGCCTCCTCCACAGATGCAGGGTCCCAAGGCTTGGGGCTATCCTCCATCGCTTTCCCAGGCCACAAATAGGGAGCTGGATGGGAAGCAGGGTCGCCAGCATTAGAACTGGCACCTATAGGGCATCCCAGCATATGGGCACGTGCAAGGAGAGGACCTTAGCCATTAGGCTACCATGCCAGGCACCCCCCCTTTTTTTTTTTTAAAGAAAGCAGGGGCTGGTAATGGGACTCCGTGGGCAAAGCCATTGTTCTTAGCTCTGACAGCACACGCAACTGTCAGCTGGAGTCCTGGGGCCTCTGCCACCATGTAGGAGACGCAGGTGGAGTTCCAGGTTCCCAGGTTTGGCCTGGGTGTTTAGGAAGTAACCCAGTAGAGTGAAATACTTTCTTACTCTATAACTTTGCCCTTCAACGAAATAACTCTGGGAGACCCTGAAGAAGCTCCTGGCTCTCAGCTTCAGATCACCTCAGCTCTGGTAATGCAGCCATTTGGGAAGTAAACCAGTGGGTAGAAGACATTCTCTATTCTTTTCTCTCTGTAATTTGCCAAGGAACTACTGAACTACTTTTACCAACAAACATACTAAAACAAATCTTTGATAAGTTTCTAAATAAATTCAAAAGTGTTGGCTACTCTGTAAATATAGCTACTTAAAAACAGCTATGTTTTGGGCACAGCACGATGCCGTGTGTGTGTGAGAGTGATGCTGTCTTCACTGGTTAGTAGATGGAAACTGGTCTTGTGTGGAATCAGTTGTCTGTTCAATAATAGTTTTGCTTCGTTATTCATACCGTGTGAAAGATTGAGTTTTGAACTGGTAAAGGATTTGGACTGAAATAGTTCTTGTTTTATAACTGTAAAATTTGTATTTGCAGAAAAGTAAAACACTTGATGCAAATCTGAAGCTTTCACATACCCTGTGCTTCTTTTTGAATCATTGAACATATCCCATTTTAATGCTTTTAAAAGCTAATAGAAATTATTCCAGGCCTTACGTTGTATCTGTCCCTGTCCATTTCAGCATGCTTGAGGACGACCTTCAGCTCAGTGACAGTGAGGACAGTGACAATGATGAACAAGTAAGCTTTGTGTACCGCATCTTTCCCAGGAATCTGTTTCAATCCATCTGGTGTATCTGAGCTGTTTATCCTAACGTATGCTTTGTTCTTTCCTTTGTCCTCCTCCCACTTACTGTGAACATCTAGACCCCAGAGAAGCCACCTTCTTCAGCTGCACCTCCAAGGTAATGTGGGCTGGTTTCCTTTGATCTGTATAGAATATTTGCATTGTTTTAACAACCAGATGTAAAAAAATGCCTTGGTACTCTCATAGTTTCTTCATGGGACAGTACCTAGAGGATCACAGTTAAAGGAGAGTACCAGTTTGATAAGTCAACTGGAGAGAACTTGTTAAAACTCTGTAAAACTGTCATTGTCCATACGCACCTGCTTTGCTAGTTTGGGTGTTCCATTTTAAGAGTTAAAAAGTGAGCTTAAAACTTTGTTTTGTTATCCATGCAATGTGACCAGTATTTGAACAGTTTTAATCAAGTTGACAGAGTTATTCTGTGTCTATGTTGTGTTTTAAGATTTATTTATTTGAAAGGGCAGAGTAAGCAAAATAGAGAGAGGAATCTTCCATTCTCTGATTCACTCCCCAGATTCTGCTGTCAGATCTGGGCAATTTGCTGTTTTAAGACTTATTTGCAAGAGTTAGGGAGGAAGAGAGAAATCTTTCTTCTGCTGGTTCATTCCCCAAATAGCTACATAGCCAGGGCTCACCAACCTGATTTTAAACATTGAGCTAAATTGTTTCTAAAACTTGTTTTTATATTACAGTTTGTTTTTTTAAGAGTTACAGAAAATTTAAAATTATTTCAACTGCTTTTTGACCCAGCAGCCTGTGATGGAAAATGGCAGGTTTTTCTTTGTAAACAAGCCAGCGTCCTTTAGGAAATGTGATGCTGCAGTGTTAGGAAGTGAGAAAGGTTTGAGCTATTATTTTCCTGCTGAATTTAATTGTTTAGTATCCTAAATACCTGCCTGTCATAAGCATGGCTAAACTATTTTGTTCGCTTAATGCGTGCTCATTTCTTCAGAGACAGTATCAACAGTAAAAACCTGGAGATTTTATATCAAAAGTGTTCTGGTTAACTTGAAAGGATCCTCTGACATAATGAAAAGCTTATGGACTCAGAAGATTGGCTTGTAAATTTTAATGACTTTTTTTAGGAATTTCTGGTGGGTCATGACTATTGATAAAATATTTAAAAAACAAAGGAAAACACAAGGTCAAGGTAAATCAAGGCAGGAGTAGCATTGAAAACATGTCCCATGCGGATCCTCTCTGGCTTTGACTCAGTCACAGCAGGGACAAGCTCACAAACTTGAACAGGCATTTTTTTCCTGAGGAAATTATGCAATGGTTTTAGTGTGCTTGTTTTAAAATTACTTCAACTTCTGATTACTATTTAATTTTATTCTAATATTACACTATTGTGTTATTGAATTTATTTTGGCAATATTGTTGGTAGATTTGGGTGCTTTCAGTGCTATGGTTAATGATTTACTGCTTTAGTTAATACTGTTTGGGGCAAGATTTTAATCATGTATGTTTTGAAATTCCATGTATGTCCAGAAGTGTTAACAATGTGTATTTTATTTATTTATTTTTATTGGAAAGTCAGATATACAGAGAGAGAAAGATCTTTCATCTGCTGATTAACTCTCTTTAGTGGCTACAACAGCCATAGCTGAGCCGATCCAAAGCCAGGAGCCTCTTCTGGGTTTCCCATGTGGGTGCAGGGTCCCAAGGCTTTGGACCATCCTTGGCTACTTTCCCAGGCTCCCAGCAGGGAGCTTGATGGGAATGGGGCCATCAGAACATGAACTGGCACCCATTTGAGATTCTGGTACATGCCAGATGAGGGCTTTAGCTACTAGGCCACTATGCTGGACCCTTGCCCTATTCTTAAAGCTTGGAGTGGTTATCTCTATTTTGGTTGGTATTGTAGGACGATCCTTAAGCCACTCATGAAGAATGACCTATTTTGTAATTCTGCCCAAAAGATGTGGATGAGTCACTTTGGAGTTCACAGAAGGAGTACTATTAATAGTTAGTGGTCTTTGGATATTGTACAACTAAATCTAATGTAGAGGCTCTAAGGAGGTTTTATTTTGATGGTTTTCCTTTTATAAATCAATTTTTATAGGTCATGAATAGCAAGGATCAACAAACATAAAAACACTAAGTTGTAAATATCTTGCACCTTTTGATCCATCCAAGTTGCAACTTCCTTATTCTGCTTTACAGTTAATAAAAGCAGACACAGTACGTGTGAGAATAGATGTGTTCTAATGAAGCTATTTAGAAAAACAGTTCCCCCGCCCCCACGTTTTACCAGCCTAGAACATAAAGCACTCAGCATCTACTTACATTTATACTTTGCACAGAACTTGGATTGTCCTTCACAGTGAGATTGCACAGCTTCTCTTATGCAGTTACCCGTTTTAAAAAGTGTTGTATGTTATACATGTTTTCGTAAAATACTGTAGGCCTCTCTCATGCGGCTGATACAATTTATGTTAGATAATACTTGCCCTGCTCTTCCAAATAGCAAGAAAATAGGCAGGGACTAAAAAGGGCAGAGGTCCACTTTGCAGAGTGTCTGATTTGATCTCTTGGTTGCTTTGCAGTGCACCCCAGTCGCTTCCACAACCAGTGGCATCAGCACATTCCAGCAGTGCCGAGTCAGAGAGCACCAGTGACTCAGACAGCTCCTCAGACTCGGAGAGCGAGAGCAGTTCAAGTGACAGTGATGATAACGAGCCCCTAGAAACCCGGGCTCCAGAGGTACTGTGTCTGCCTTGGGAAGGCTGTCCAAGGGCGGCAGCATTCTGTCTTCGGGGCTAGTGTCTCTGCTGTGGGCCAGGATCCACAGCATCCTGACCTGAGTCTGACCATGCAGCAGGACTCCCTGCCCCTTTGTTGGGCAGAGGCACATGTCTCTACTTACCAGATCCTTGGCCTTGGCCGTGGAGGTTCAGGAGAGGTAACTCCACCATTTGAAATGATAGATTCTACTCCCTTTGGAAGAGCAGCATCTTGAGACTGTCTGCACATCATTTTTTCTTCCTATCTTTTGAGAAAAAAAAAACCTGTGTTCAGCAGTCTGGTGTTTGAATATTAATGAGATGGGGGGGTTGATACTCAGGAGTGCATGAATTAAAGTAAAAGGGAAGCACACCTGATTTAGCAAAGGTCAGGAACACAAACTCAAAATCAGTCATCAGAGTTCTATTTTTGAGTCAGTAAAAGCCATGCTTTATATCGAAGGCAAAGTGATTTTTTGCCAGGGCTCTGAATCTTCTTGCCCTATATGGAACAGGGATACCTGTGTTTCCATTCTGTGAATAGGAACAAACCCTTGAGACTGAACATCTCATGCCCTAAATTTTATCTACAGAATTTAACACTATTTAATGAATTATCAAGAACAAGGCATTGTTAGTAATTACTAGCAGGGTTACCAAATAGACTCAAAATTTGTGATATCAGTGTAAAAATTATACAGGGTAAGAAAATGACTAAACAGGAAAGGGTTTTCTTTCTTTTTCTTTTTCCTTTTTTTTTTTTTTTTTTAAGATTTAGCTATTTTACTTCTAAGTCAGAGTTGGGGTGGGGGATAGTGAGGAGAAAGTGTCTACCATCTGCTGGTTCACTCCCAGATGCTCAGAGATCCCAAGGCTGGGCCAGGCTAAAGCCAGGCTCCAGGAGCTTCTTCAGGGTCTCCTGCATGGATGCAGAGGCTCAAGGGCTTGGGCCATCTTCCACTGCTTTCCCAGGACATCAACACGGAACTGGATCAGAAATGGAGCAGCCAGGACTTCAACCAGCGCCTATATGGCATACTGGCACCATGCGCAGAGAATTAGCCTGATATACTGGCCACAAGAAAAGGCATTCTTTTTTTTGTAAGCGAGATCAGGTTGCATAAAGGACATTATCCTGCATGTTTTGGAATGCCAGGAATTTGAGGCTTTCTGATATTAAAAGCCTCAGAGAAAAGTCTGTCTCTGCTGCTGAGAAAACAAGGCAGTTCTAGTAGAGCCTTAACTGACTGTATCTGGAGAGTCATGTGGGGAGTTATAAGGACCTTGAATGCACGACAGACTGAGAAAACAAGTGGGTGTCATTTCTCGTTAGATGTATCTCTATATTTGGCACATATAAGTGCCTGATAGTTTTTGGAATGAATCAGAATGGCTGCATGTTAAATGCAAAGTGCCTTCTGCATTTTAGAAACCACTCTGTTCCCTGGGCTCCGTGCTTCATGGTACTACCTGCAAATGAAAACATTTTACCATGCCTTGGGAAGGTGAGGGGGCAGTTTGCTATGTGCACAAATAGTGTGATGTTCCCTGTTACCAAGACCTCTACTTTTCATTTGACATTAGTCAATAAGAAACCAGTTGCCATGAATTCCACTTCATTGTTTATTTTATGATATGAATAAAAGTGTAAGTTTCAGATTTTCAGAATATGTAGGATACACAGCTTTTTGCTGCTAAAGTATAACTTGAAAAGCATTATTCTATTCTTGGTTATTTAAAAATCTGCTTAGTTTTCTAATCTTTTTATTGCCTAATCCTTTGATACCAAACTGGCTTATATTGATTGCATAACTGTTCATAGAACTCTTTTGTAAGTTATTTTATTTATCTCCCACCAACTGTACACAATTGATAACTTTATTTTGACATTAAAGAAGTAGCAGTACCACTTAAAATTAATTAATTTATTTATTCATTTATCTATTTAAAACGCAGAGTTAGAAAGAGGATGGACAGAGCAAGAGATTTTCCATTTACCAGTCCACTCTCCACATGTTTGTAAGGACTGGGACTGAACCAGGCTAAAGCCAAGAACCAGGAGTTTCTTCTGGTTCTCCTAGAAGGATGTAAGAACTAGGGATTTAGGCATCTTCTGCCGCTTTTCCAGCATCATGGAACAGCCAGGACTTGAGCTGGTGCCCGTATGGGACACTAGTGCTACAGGCTTGCAACTCAACTTGCTCCACAATGCCAGACCCTTAAATTGAAACTTTTAACCATTTACATCTGGCAGTTGTATTATGTTGTTATTGTTCTCTAGCTACACTCTTCCCAACTACTGGTCATCCCTACATTAATAATAAATAAATAAATAAATAAATAAATAAGATTTAAAAAATGTTTATTTGAAAGGCAGATTTGCAGAGAGAGAGAAGGATAGAGAATGTCTTCCATCTACTGGTTTACTTCCCAAATGGCTGCATTACCAGAACTGAGGTGATCTGAAGCTGAGAGCCAGGAGCTTCTTCAGGGTCTCCCAGAGTTATTTCGTTGAAGGGCAAAGTTATAGAGTAAGAAAGTATTTCACTCTACTGGGTTACTTCCTAAACACCCAGGCCAAACCTGGGAACCTGGAACTCCACCTGCGTCTCCTACATGGTGGCAAAGACCCAGGACTCCAGCTGACAGTTGTGTGTGCTGTCAGAGTTAAGAACAATGGCTTTGCCCACGGAGTCCCATCACCAGCCCCTGCTTTCTTTAAAAAAAAGGGGGGGGGGTGCCTGGCATGGTAGCCTCATGGCTAAGGTCCTCTCCTTGCACGTGCCCATATGCTGGGATGCCCTATAGGTGCCAGTTCTAATGCTGACGACCCTGCTTCCCATCCAGCTCCCTATTTGTGGCCTGGGAAAGCGATGGAGGATAGCCCCAAGCCTTGGGACCCTGCATCCGTGGAGGAGGCCCGGAAGAAGTTCCTTGTTCCTGGCTTTGGATTGGCTCAGCTCCGTCCGTTGCAGCCAGTAGGGGGTAAATCATCGGACGGAATGTCTCTCTTCCACTGTGTATATCTGCCTTGCAATTAAAATAATAAATAAATCTTTTTAACAAGTTTTTTACAATCACTCCCTACAACTAACCATAAAGCTTTTTAAAAAAAAAAAAAAACACAGCTGTATGATGCCTATAACTCACAAGTTCTTATTCATGGCCATACTTCATTCTAAAATACACTAACTTCTGCTGGTTTTATAGAACTGGAGAAATAGAGGGACATAAGGATAAACATGTATTAAAGTACTTATGAATTTTTTTCTACTTTAAATTTTTAATAATGCTTGAGAAGCCCTCATCCCAAAGCCTGAAATGTTCATATGTCAAACTTTTTTGAACACCTACATGACGCCTGCTGTGATAGATAATACTCAAAACAAAGGCATTGTCACACTCTGGCCTTTTGGCTGAGATGATAATAGTATCTGTTCTTATCAGTTTAATATCTGATACGTCCTCTATTCCAAGGATAATATATTAAATGCGCTTTTGGAGCTTTGAGTTGGAGTAACAGCTTGTTATTTCCACTCTGCATCAACCTGGTATTGCGGTTCATTTACAAATGGTGCGCTCTCCCTATTAAAAAAATATAAATATATATATAGGCACTGTATAATCATTTTATAAAGTTACTTTTCATTTTGTTTGTGAGGTTCATGTGCAACATGAAGCATAAATGAACTTAGTGTTCATTTGAGTCCAGCCTTCAAATACCATTATGTATATCTGACTATTCCAAAAAAAATTTTTTTTTAAATATGAGATACAGTTGTCCTAAGCACTTGAATTACATCAAGCTGCCCCTATGGCAGTATAGGGGGAATGAAAAAAGTCAGAAACATCCCGTGCCTAAATTTAATATGGTACATATCTACTTAAAATAATTTTAAAATCTAATGAACACTAGGATCGATGTGATGGTTTGGTGGCTAAATCCTTGCGTTGCATATACTGGGATACCATATATATGCTGGTTCATGTCCCGGCTAACCCACTTCCCATCCAGCCCCTGCTTGTGGCCTGAGAAAACAATGGAGGTTGGCGCACGATCTTGGGACATTGTACTCATGCTGGAGACCTGGAAGAGGTTCCTGGCTCCTGGCTTCGGGTCAGCTCGGCTCCGGCCATTGTGACCACTTAGGGAGTGAACCAGCAGACTGAAGATCTTTCTCCCTGTTTCTCCTCCTCTCTGTAAATCTGTCTTACTAATAAAAATAAATAAATCTATTTTAAAAATCTGTTTAACCCAAGTGTACAAAATCTATTTAACTGGTTTTACAAGTACTACCTGAATTGTGTCTGACCTTCAAGGAATCTTGACCATTTTACAACCTTAGTTGGATTCACAAAAATATTGCCATGCCTTTTCTGCCTCATTGAGCTCACTATCTCAGCTTTATCCTGAAATTGGGCCATGGACCTCTGTTCTGGACATTATTAGGACCACAGAAGTCAATCTTTTATTTCTGTAACCAGGACATTTCTTTAGGGATTACTAAATGTATCTCTCAATAGTGCCCTGCTTGTGTGGGTTACTGATACCAGGAGTGACTTCCCATTTTGGTTCACCCAGAAATACATTTTTAAAGAACATTATAGAGATTGGGTGCAGCCTAACCTTTCTTGTAGAAAGACTGTGAGATTGAGTCCCTAACACTGTTGGCTGGTGATCCATCTTATTGCCTTGTTCCATCATCATATCACTAGTACACCACAGTTTTGTGTCTTGGCAGGAAATCCTATTTGGCAAGTATGTATTATTTGCTCATCTTTTCTCTGCCCTTATCCTGTTTGGAGTATTGAATACAGATTTCAGAGCACATATGACAAAATGCCCAGCATATAATAGTGGTTTTCTTCCCTCTCTTCTGCTCTGAAGGTGTGTAAGAGCTTGGATGTATAGTTGGGAACATTTAGGAAGCTAGCATGGATACATTGTCATAAGATAAAGGAATCCTGTAGCTACCTTTTTGTCCAAAGTTATGTTTCTACCTAGTTTCTTAAGGTTCTTCCTAACCGCATTGTGTGACCGTCACACTATGCCCATACAACCTATTTTATCATTTTATTACCCATTGTTTTTCTGACCAAAAAAAGCCTTTATATCCTAGTCACTTATTTTACATTGTTAGTATTGCATGTGCTCATAAGAATTGCTGGGATATATTACTTGGAAAACTTCTTAGCCATTCTCCCCTTGAAAGTCCATAACTACTTAAGTGATTTCTTTGCCTGTAATCAGTTATGTCCCATATGGAGTTTCTTTCAGTAAACTTCCTAGTGCAGTGTAGATATGTTTAGTCATTCATATAAACCACCTGTCAGAATGGAACTTAAGCAGTAAGCAATCAGTGATATGTAGCACTTAAAAGCATAGTTATTATTTACAGTATTGGACACTGATATTTTTCTCTGAGATCACATTCATGGAGATAGCAGTATACCCACAGGGATGCTCAGATGTCTTGTATGCCACTGTGAGCAAGACTCAACAGTGGATCTTAAATAACAGTTAAGAGGAGAAGTTAGGAACTTCTGTTTACTTGTGGAACTCTTTGTACAGGTAGTCAGTGTAATCGCATTGTGGTCATCAGCTGTTCTGGAAGGGCTCTTTGTGTCATAGAAACACAAGTGGTTTCAGGCCAGGTTGTCCACAACAAGACACTTAATGTCTGACTTTCAAAGATTCGAAATGTGGTTGATTAATGTGTCCTCACTTGACACCTCTCTCTCTCTTTTTTAATTAAGTGGTAAAATTTGAAAGTCAGTATATATACATAACAAGGAGGAGTGTATTCAGAGTGGATTGTTACAAAATAGAGAGCATGTGCTCACACCCTCTGGTTCACTTGCCATTTGGGCAAGAGATGGAGGCTAGACCATCCGGAAGGCCAGGAACCCCATTCCAGTCTTCCTTGTGGGTGGCATGGGCTCAAGTACTTGGGTGATGTTCTGGTTTCCCTGGTGCATTAGCAGAGTTGAATTAATTGAGGAGCAGCCAGGACTTTAATCGGTGCTGAAAGGGATATCCCTGTCCTTGTTTCAGGCAGTAGCTTACAAGCTGGCCACAAAGCTGGCCCTGGAAGCGGAATTACTGGGTTTGAAACAATTATTTTCTATTTAAGACAATTCTGTATAACTGAATCACTAAAAAAAATAATTTCTCATTATTGTTGAGTTAATGTTTCCATTTTCGTTTTTTTAGCCAGAGCCTCCAACAACCAACAAATGGCAGCTGGACAACTGGCTAACCAAAGTCAGCCAGCCAGCGGTGCTCCCCGAAGGCCTGGGGAGCTCGGAGCCTGCTCAGCGGCGACAGGAAGGCAAGGGCAGCAATGACAGTGACACCACAGGGCAGGAGCATGCTGACCCCAAAGAGCCTACCCCCAAGAACTCCAGCAAATCCCCCCGAATCCCTCCCGAAGTCCCCCACCCTGGAAAGAGAAGCTGCCAGAAGTCGCCTGCTCCCCAGGAACCCCCAGCCCGGCAAACCGTGGGAACCAAACAGCCCAAAAAGCCTGCCAAGGTCACTACCCAGGCCCCCTCACAAACTGGCCTGAAGGTGGAAAGTGAGCCAGGACTGGCCAAGGGCTCAGGAGACCAGACTTCCAAAGACAAGCCTAAGGTGAAGACGAAAGGAAGGCCTCGTGCTGGGGCAGGGATGGGCCGAGAGCCCAAGTCCACAGTGCCTGCACCCAGTGAACGGAGGAAACACAAGAGCCCCCCACGGGCCCCCTGCAAGGTGCCCGCCAGCCGGGAGCCCACAAAAGAGCCCGTGGAGACCCAGAGCTCTGAACCCTTGGCGCTTGTTCCCCTGGCACAGAGCCAGGGTGCACCCTCCAGTGGTGGCGTTAGGACTAGTGGCTGCCGGCAGGCCGTGCTCGTCCAGGAAGACAGCCGCAGAGACCGACTCCCGGTGCCTGTGAAAGACACCAAGTTGCTCTCGCCACTCAGGGACCCTCCTGCCCCCAAAAGCTTAGTGGTAAAGATCACCCTCGACCTCCTCACTCGTATACCCCACCCACCAGGCAAAAGCAGCTGCCAGAAAAAACCCAAGGACAAACAGCTGTCCTCTGGGAGGAAGCAGGATTCCGAAAAGAGAAGCTCAGACTCCTCCTCCAAGTTGGCCAAAAAGAGGAAGGTGAGTGTGGGGAGACTGGCCTCCTGCTGCCAGGCCAGAGGGCTGCCACTTGGGCTTCACACTGTCCGTGCTTGGTCCTTGGCTCAAAGCCCTCTCAGAGGCTGGGAATCTCTGCTTGACTGGGATGTGGTTGCTCCTCCTCCTCTAGTGACTGTGTAGAGCTGGATGCCCCCCATTCTGCAGATGGAGGATTGCAGAGCTCCGGGTCCCTCTTCTGTCTGCCATCTGGGCAACTTGACACAGTCTTTGGAAAGAGGAACTGCTCCAGGGATAGTGTCACTGATAGAGTAGTTTTTCTTTAGTTTTTATTGTTTTGGTTTTTTTTTAAGTAAAATTCATTTTGTTTTGATGATGTTTGCATAGTTGAGAGGGATGCATGCCCATGTGCAATTAGGGTGGGGAGGGTTGAGGAATGGGGGAAGGTGGATGAGACAGCTGCATCCATCCAATCTCCTTTTTCCTTCCTGTATCTGGGGAGAGTAGGGAGAGAAGGTGAGAGAACCCTTGCTAGTAGCTCAGCCACATCAGTACCCGGGAATAGGGGATGGCTGCCTAATGTCATCCCCGGTATGGCAATCCCACAGGGGTGAGCCCACAATCCCCCCTAGAGTCTGCTCTCAGACCCAGTTCGCTTGGGAGCTGCTTAGTGTCATGTCTCAGCCTAACATGGCCCACTCTACCCTGACATTCACTGGTGGGTACTGTGATCGAGCCCTACCAGGCAGGCGCCCCCTGCCCCTGCTATAGTTTTTGTGTGTGCTAGTAGGCAGTGGTTGATAGCTAACTAGCCCAGTTCAGGTCTCCCATGTGGGTGGGTGTATTGGTTTGGCCTCAGAGTGTCCTCTGGTTCTCCTCCTTTAAATTATCCAGCCTCAGCCCCATTGTTTACTTACAGGTGCAATAACCCAATCGGTGGAAGTGCCCAGAAGTCACTCCTCACCTGTCCTGTTCTCCCTTCCCACACATATCCAGACCTGTTTCCCTGAGCAGTCCAGAGCCCCCCATGCCCACTGGCACACAGATCCCCCAAACTGGTTCTCTACTGGTGTGCTTTGCCAGCCTGGGGCCCTGCCTGCCTACCTAGGGCTTACGTATGCTCGTGCACAGGTCCCCAGACCCTGGCTGCTGGCATGCAGTCACCCCCATATATCTTAAAAAAAAAAATAGGCAACTATGCTAACACGCTTGTATAGTTAACACAGATTTGGCGTCAACTGTGCCCAGGATGCCTGTCAAGTATTAGCTGCTTTTCTCCCAGCAATGTGTTCTTGCTTAGGTATAAGGCAACCTAGAGAGTTGCCTACAACTAGGGTTATTGTTTTTGTTTTTAAGATTCATTTTACTTACTTTAGTTTGCAAGAGTTGCAGAGAGAGAGGGTGGTGGTAACATAGAGGATCTTTCCTCTGCGGGCTCACTCCCCCAAGTAGCCTAAAGACCTGGAGCTGAGCAGACCTGAACTGGGAGCCAGGAGCTTCTTCCAGGTCTCTTAGGCCATCTCTTGCTTTTCCAGACCATTAACAGGAGGCTAGATGGAAAGTAGAGCAGTCCAGGAGCAGTCAAGACTTGAACTGATACCTATATGAGGTGCTGGTGCTGCGGGTGGAAGATTGGCTTATTATACCACCATGACTGCCCCTTGGGTACAGTTTTATGGATACTGATAACATTAATATTAACTACTTATCCTGTAGGATGTTTCCCTAAAAGTCTTGCATTGATTGAAGTGCTAATCTGATTTAGTGAATAAACTGCTCTATGCAAGTTTCACTCCCATAGTATCATCTTTCCAGTAGTACTGTTGGTTCCATATTTTATTTTATGGCCATGTAGCACATCACTAGAGCTACAAAAAGTATGCTGGCATAGTTTGTAAATGATACAGAGTGGGATAATCCATTGCATGTGTTGAACTTCTGTCATTACAATTTTTTTTGGAAGTTTCACTACAGTAAGGAAGAAAAAAATGTATTATTGAGACTTGGATGTCTTTGAACAGTTTTTTCCTACCTTTATTCTGAAACATGGAGCTGTTTGTTGATCTGTTTTTTGCTTCTTCGTGAAGATGAAGGATTAGTGAGTTTTTCCTCAATGGCGTTTCCAATCCAGCATGCCCGTGATTCAAAGACAACACACATAGCTAATTCTCTGCTACTAAGAAGGAATACGTTTTTTAACACTGAGTGTATGAAAAGCTTCTTATGCAGCTGTGAAAGTTAAACTCAAAATACCAAAGGAAAAACGATCCTGAATTCTGTCAAGTCTGAGGTATAATGTAGCTTTACCAAGACTGAAGGTGACCACTCTCTCCAGAGCCTTGTTGCAGGAAGGTGCATATTGGCACACTTCTGCAGCAGGCAAGCTGAGGGATGGTGTTATTAAGTGAGAAAGGAGAAAGTATATTTTCATCCCAGAAAATTCTTAGAATGTATATGAATGTGTGTGTGTGTGTGTGTGTGTGTGTGTGTATAGAGAACAAAACTTTATGGATAAAACTGTGATAGATCTGATTAGGAAACAGTCGCCTGCATCTAACATCTGAGGAAATGTCAGGCTGACACACACACTCACTGCCACCTCCTGGAAATCTGCTGTCTCCTAGCTGCCAGTCTTAGGGGACCTCCAGGGCTAGCCTCCTGCAGTCGCTGGAAAGGGCTTGCTTCTGACATACTAACTCACCACATAGAATCTTTCAGAAACAGAAGCTCTGGAGAGTTCAAAACCCCATCCCTACCCCTGTACAAGCATCCAAACATTGATTGTGGCTCTAGAGTGCTAAGACTTTTTGCTCTCTCCCTGTTGACTCTCAGAACCGAATCCTCTAAAAGCCATTCTCAAGTTTTGAGCTCTCCCTGGGCAGCTGTTTCTGTTGATAGCACTGAGAAATAGTGCTCCCCTCCCCTTAGTAGAGTGTATGATTTTGTCAAAGTTCTAGTAAACAGCTGGGCTGTCTGGCCCAGGTGGCAGTCTGCTGAAGTGGTGCTGATGGGATTGGGGTATGGCTTTAGGTTCCAAATCTTTACTGTGTTATGGTTACCTGGGGAGCTTTAACACTAATGGCAGGATATACTTGTGCCACACCCAGTCACCCCACCGTGGTAGTTTTAAAATTCCTTAGGTGATCATGTAAAGTGTGGCAGGGCTGGGGATCACTGGGGACCACTGGAGAAGAACCTCACCACAGGGTGGGATTGTGCAAGGCTAGTTCTGGGGTGGGGATAATCCAGAAATTCCTCATGTGTGCTGTATTCAGACACCATGCATCTAGGCTGCTACCAATTCCTCTTCCGAATCACACCTTTAATTAACACTTTTCCTTAGAAACTTCCAAATAAATACAAAGACCCGTCAATTACATGCTAGTTCCAAGAGCAGAGATTCATGTATTCCTGCCGTGCCCCACCCCCACTTCCTGCTGGATTCCAAGTAAGAAGCAAGGAGCCTTGATTGCAAGCCCTTCCCTGTGTGGGGAGCAGGTTGTGTGCCTTGTTGCTTATTCAGGGCTTCGCACTCCAGCCCCGTGACAGGTATGATGGATCCAGGCATGGCACAGGCAGGACTATGATCTTCTCGAACCTTCAGTGCTTTCCCTAAGATGTTAATAGTGAAGATTCTTTCCCTTCATTCTGAGTGTGGACAGAGTTCTCTCAGTTGGAGACCTTGAAGGATGTGCTTGCTCCTTTATATTAATCGAATTTTAGCGTTTTCACTTAGGCCTTATAGCCTTGTCCCTCTTGTGGTACAAAACTTAGCAAGTATTTACAGATGATTTACAAGTCCTTGGAGTCATTTTGTACTTAAAAAGTGTATACTAAAAACTGCTGCGATGAGTAGTCTTGAACTCATGTAGTGTTCCAGTCACTGGATTGCATCATCTGATTGGAATTTAAAACTCCCACTTTATGTATGTTGTCTTTAAATAATCCTTACTGTTACTATTTCCAAATTTGAAACATTGAAATTGAGGATCACAATGTAGTACTCAGACTGGTGCCACTTGAAAGCATTCTAAAAACACCCTTGATAAGCCCCAGCTGCGCTATAGCCTTCTAGACACCATTGAACTTAATACCTCATTTAATCATCCTTCTTATACATTACATTTCAAATAAATGAAAGCCATTTGGATGAATAACCAAACAAGAAGGTACATTCCAATCTTTTGGTTTTCCAGGTTACTGACCGAGACACTTGAATGTTTTTAAAGAATTTCAGTGCCCTTGCTTCTATGTGTGTAAGAAGTGAGAAGGAAAGTCATCGGCAGCCTAGAAAAATATTCTTTCCTGCCGAGGGGTGCTGGCTTCCATCTTTCCCTTAACATCCATGACCCCACAAACTTTCTTCTTCTTCTTCTGGGTTGGTTTCAGCAGAGCAAAAGCCCCAGTTATCCTATCACAAGTTCCTTATGATTTACTAGGCCTGTTGGTTCTGGAGGAAGGGCATCGTAGCTATGTACTCGCTGTGGCTAGGTTGATTCCTGAGCGTTCCCTCACCCAGGAGGATTAACACAGAGTCATTGTCCCTTTGAACACATCCTGTCTTCCTAGGAGTGCCTGTCCCTGCTCCCAGTGTGAGCTTGGACTGGGAATCCCGCGTGTCTGGTTCTCATTAAGCTTCTTACCTGGCATAGCGCAGGGATGTACTTGACTTTCTCAGAAGGCTGCTTCCTCAGTTTTCCTGTGCTGCAGGTGTGACCAAACTCATTGCTTTCTCTTTATGAAAAAACAGTAAAGACACTCATTGTAAGACTGAAGGGGAGAACAGAGAGGAGCGGAGCAAACTTGGGGGAGCGGGAAGGGAGGCCCTAGCACCAACTAAACTATTAAAAAAACAATTTAAAGAAAAAGAGCCTCAAGCTATGTTAAAAGAGTCTCAGGCATTGGAGGTTCAGCCATTGCCTTTTATGTATTTATAGGTTTTTTTTAATTGGAAAGTCAGATTTACAGAGAGAAGGAGATACAAAGAGAAAGATCTTCCATCCAATCGTTCATTTCCCAAGTGGTTGCAATGGCTGGAGCTGAACCAATCCAAAGCCAGGAGTCAGGAGCTTCTTCTGTGACTCCCAAATGGGTGCAGAGTCCCAAGGCTTTGGACTGTACTTAACTGCTTTCTCAGGCCACAAGCAGGGAGCTGGATGGGAAGTAGAGCAGCCGGGATTAGAATCGGCGCCCATATGAGATCCCAGCACATGCAAGGTGAGGACTTTAGCCACTAGGTTATCACACCAGGCCCAGACACTGCCTTTTATAGACGAGATCCAGAAGGGCACTGATATCACTTGGTTTCTGAATATTTGCACATGCTCTTCTCATACAAGCACCTACTGGGTACTCAAGCAAGACAGAAGATCAGAGTTCAAGATCAGTGTTTTGACTGGCAGTTGCAGTGTCCTTCCTGGTCAGTCCCCACACCTCCCCCCACCTCCGACAGTGCTATCCTGATATCTCTACCAACTCCCTCTGCCCTCGGCCACCCTGCTGCCTGCATCATGGAGATCCTGGGTGAGGATACCTTTCTGTCAGTTAGAAACTCTCTCCTAAAATAAGTTTCAGTTGTGGAAGAAGCCACCTTCATTTTCCCCTACTGTCTACAAGCAGCTACGTGGTGAGCTGGGGCGGGTCCCAGTCTGTCCCTGCAAGAGCAACTAGGCCTAGTGCAGGTCCCTCTCTTCCTTTTATGGTCTTTGTTCCTGCCGTCTGGGCTGTGTAGGTGAAGCAGCGTTTGGCAGATGGTCTGTAGCTGCTTGACCCAACAGGTTAAGAAAAGCAAACAAGTTGGTTACACCCAGATCCTCAGCCAGCAGCCTCATTTGTGGTCGATGCAGGTACCACTGAAGTTTATCCTTATGGAAAAAGGATTGCTAACGCCCAGGTTTCAGGCTCGAGTCCTTGAGATGGGAGTGATCTGGGGGTAACCACAAAACCTCACAAGGAAAAGGTGTATGGCTCTCACGGGATTTTCCCATGGCTTGCCAATCACTGTTCCTCCGTGTTTTCAGGAGCCAGGTTCCTGGAGTTCAAATCTGCCTTTCCTGTCTCTCAGTACTATGTGACTTTCGCTTTTATGGCTGTGTCCTAAGGCCATCTTGGGCCCTCAAGTGCTAAGATTAATTTCTGTGCCAACGGACAGAGCCAGAGGGCCTGCCCTGGGGAAGCCTCGGTGATTGTTCCAGACAATGACAGGGTTCCAAATGCACAGTGTGCAGAAAGCGTCCTGCCCTCCGGCCCACAAGGCCTGACCCCACAGTGACGAGTCATCAACAGAAGGGCATGTTTGCTGTATTGAGTTTCATCGTTTCCTTTTTACTAGCTTATAGAATATCATCTGCCCTAAGTGATTAAGTGTCAGCAAAAAGCATGTTGCTTCTGCCAAGGGCCAATCCCGTTGTTAAAAGCTGGGGTAGAAGTTAATGTCTGGTGGTTTCTGTTTGTTGGCTGTTCCCTCGCTGATTGGCACAAGCCAGTCATAACCAGTTTGCGAGGACTGACTCATTGGGAATCCTCTTTGCATGTGTGGTCTACAAGGTCGGCCACTTGGATTTATGAGCATATCCTAAGCAACATGAACCGCAGAAACAGAAATGAACTCTCATTCTGCCTGTGAACTCTGCTGCTTTCCAGACAAAGTGGACACACAGGTGATCTCTCCTCGGTTTTGCCTTGAGGCCCACTTGATCTCATGAACTACCTGCAAACTACCTGTTGAAAATCTTATTTTGCTAACTACCTTGTGTACAAGTTCATATTTATATGGCAGATTGTGATTTTCCTGAAAGACAAATGTTCCATCCTCTAGCATTGTTTGCCAGTTTTTTATCAAAAACTTCAGAGAAATTTCTGAGCACTGGAGTGACAAGCTAGCCCAGCACAGTTAGGTACTTAATTTGCAAGGGGTTTACCATGGCAGAAGTAGGATTCTTGTGGAATCCTGTCATTTTTAATTGATGCGTTTTCTGTCCCTCACCATTGACCTCCGTGTTAGACCAGCAGCAGAAGGTTGCGTGCAGGGCAGAGCGCCTCCTGCAGGCAACTCCCAGCATGTCCCCACACCTTTCACTTCTGGATTAGGGTCTCATAGAAACTGCTGTTTGTAATTTCCTGTTATATTTTGTTTCCTATGAGAGGCTCCATTTGTGAATAGCTGGATTGTTTTTTTCTTATCCACTTATGTATTCCATTTTTGCATTGGGTAAGTGGAATTTCAGAGTTTAATTGGTAGATCATTCTAAAGTGCGGAGGACAGACTTTGATAGGAATACAATGTGAGCTGCTAAAATAATTGTGAATGTTATAGGGAAAGAATAACTTAATGATAATTATTTTTAGAAGCAGTTTTATTTAATATCTAAAATATCTTCAATCAGAGTCTTTGGTTTCAATGAATAGATTCCAGCTTCCTGCTAAAATACCTCCTAAGAGGCAATTCAAGTACTTGGGTCCTTGCCATTCACATGGGGGCCAAGGTTGAGTTCCTGGTTCCTACCCTCTACATGGTCCAGACCCAACTAGAGTTGGCATTGGAGAATGGCAGAAGATCTGTATTTGTCTCAGTCTGTCTCTTCTTATATCTGTTTCACTTCAGCATTTAGTCAGAATATTAAATTTGGGCATTTAACCTAAGTGAATAAGAATTCAGCTTCCTGGGCCTGATGCGGTAGCCTAGCAGCTAACGCCCTTGCCTTGAACATGCTAGGATCCCATATGGGCACTGGAATCCCGGCAGCCCTGCTTCCCATCCAGCTCCCTGCTTGTAGCCTGGGAAAGCAGTCCAGGATGGCCCAAAGCCTTGGGACCCTACACCCACATGGGAGAGCTGGCTTCAGATTGGCTCAGCTCCAGCCGTTGCAGCCGCTCGAGAAGTAATTCAGCATATTGAAGATCTTCCTCTCTGTCTCTTCTCTCTGAATATCTGACTTTGCAATAAAAATGTGTTTAAAAAAAAATGAGTTCAGTTTCCTGCTTTGCAGACCCTGGACAACAGCAGGTAGTGGCTCAGGTAATTAGGTTCCTGTCATCCACTTGGGAGACTAAGTTTCTGGCTACTGATTGTGACCCAATCCCAACTATTGTGAGGGTGAGCCAGTAGCTGAGTGCTGTTTTATTTATTTCCATAAAAGAGTGTGAGGAGGAGAGATGATCGGCTGTGTCGATCTGCAACAGCCAGGCAACAGCCAGGCAACAGCCAGGGCGGTGTCGGGCTCCTCCCAGCCCTGCCACCTGGGGAGCAGGGGCCCCAGCACTTGAGCTGTGTGTTCCAGCAGAGGCTGGAATCCAGGCGGGCTGCTGTCCAGGCATGCTGGTTTGCGATGCAGTTGCTGCACTGCAGCCCAGGCCCAACCCTTCACACCTTCATTTAGTTTGTTTCCTTGCAGAAATGCAGGGGGAGAGGAGGACGCAGTGAAATCTGGGACTTTCCACCATCCGTAAGTTTGAAGACTGAGTTTTGCTTTTACAGATTACATGAGGCTTTCCGATTTGTCAGGGATTGTCCTAGATTTCTTGGCGGTGTCCCAGATTTCTAACGTGGTGAACTCTCAGACTGCGCTCCTGTTCTAAATGTGTGGGAAAGCTCATTGAAGGCCTGCCCCCCTACCCCCTTGCTCTCTGCCCGAGAACGGGGGCTCCTTCTTCCAGGACCCAGACCTTAGAAACAGGTCTGTTTCTTATAGTGTTGCAGTGTGGTAAACATGCAAAAGACTTTTGCCTTGAAGAAAATTCTTTGTTCTTTTAATTATTAAATGCATTTATTTAGGACTGGAATTGAAATAACTAGATGCTTTTGAGGTGCTAAGTCCTGTTGTTGCAGATTTCCTACTAAAATCACATTTCCAGTCCTTTCATTGGTTATGCGGTAGTTTGAAAGGTAAAGTTAAGTGATTCTGTATACGTGGAGAGACACATGAAGACCGTAACTGGGAGGAAAGGGGAAGTCCCTGAGCATCTATTTTCATCTTCTGTGATTTTGCAGACTTTTCTCTAAGATGCTCAGAGGATTTGAGGGCCTTTTTCTTTGCCAGGAATATTCTTACTTCTAATAAAAATAAGCCGTAAGTTGTGTGCTATGAATATGATTCAAACAAATTAGTAGGTGGAATTGCATGGCTGTTTGAAAGAAGCAAAGGGTGACCTCATGCTGTCACCCTCAAGTTACTTGAAAAGAATCTCTGTGTTATTGGTTGCTTTGCATGTAGAAGACCGTCAGTGCTGTCTTTCAGAACCTGCATCCTCTTGCTGGCTGTAACTTTAGATGGCTCCTGTGCTGGGCACAGGCAAGTCTTCCCGTGCAGACCATCTGTCCCCTGCCCCCCTCGGCCCCCAGGGCGAGGGGGCGGTGTGGCACTAGTAATAAGGCTGCTGCGTGTGCACGGACACCTCCAGAAGCCGGGTCACTCTCTTTACCTTTTCAGTTATTTTCTATTACGTTTTTAACACTCTTTTCTTGCAATATGACAATAATAGGGTGAAGCAGAAAAAGACTATGATAACAAGAGAATCAGACTGGAGAAAGAAGTCAAATCCCAGTCCTCTTCATCCTCATCCTCCCAGAAAGAGTCTTCTAAAACAAAGTGAGTATCACAGTGCAGAGTCGTCCTGAAAGGCCCTGGTCATCTCGGGTCTCAGCACGGGAATGTTCTGCTGCAGCGAAGTCTGTAGCTTGGTAAATTAGTGCTGGCCTGTCTTGTGGTTAAGTGCATTTCATGTTGTTTTCATTCATGAGGACCTCATGGAAATTCATTCAGCATAGCATTTAGATTTCTTAGAAGCATTTGCACTATGAAACATTTGTTAGCATCTGGGATTATTTTCTCCTAAAAGAAATTAAAGGCGGTGTGTGGCCTGCTTTGAAGACTTGGAGGAAATAGAGGTACAGAGAGAAAATGTCTTGTCCAAGGTCACGGGGCCTTGCTGAGTGCTGGAGTCATCAGCCCCCACAGGAGCCTGGGTCAGCACTTGCTGTTTCAAGGGACGAATGAGGCTTGACAAGTACTCGGTGCTGCTGGGCCGAGGGGTGGCTGTCACTTACTGGCCATGTTTGTTTGGAAAATTACTTCACAAGATGTTTTGGCAAAAACAAAAGCATAATGTTACCATGTGGGAGCCAACGGCGATGAGGGAGAGAGAGAGATGAACTGTCAGGGGTAGAGCTGTCGGCTCAGCCTGCATGCTTGTTAGAGGACAGCGTGCTTGGGGGCAGCAGAGGCAAGCGTTGAGGACGCTGACGGCCAGTGGTGGACCCTGCAGGCTCAGTGTGGGTCCGGCAGCATTGTTGGTTGCTGACAAGCAGGGCTACATTTGTATAAGGTATTAGACGTCCCTGAAATTGGGGCTTGTAGCAGCACAGTTTTGTGCTGTGTGGCCTCAACAGCTTTTTGTGCCAGCAGTCGTATTGTCCTTTTGTAACTAGACACTGCCCCCTGCCAGCTGTGAGATTTGTATTCTGTCTCACCTTAGCTTTATGTAATGTTTTACTCCAGGTTACCCCGGCCCTCACCCTCTTCAGAGTCTTCAAGAAAGGAGATGCCTCCTCCTCCACCTGTGTCCTCCTCCACTTCCTCCTCCTCCCAGAAGCCAACAAAGCCTGCACACAAGAGGTCCCGTCAGGAAGCAGACGTCTGTGGCCTGGACCCTCCCAAAAGTGCCAGTAGTAGTAGCAAGAGCAACCATAAAGACTCTTCCGTCCTCAAGCACAGAAAAGTCCCGGGGAAGGGTTGTGGAGGCTCTGCTGAGCACAGAGTAAGCAGCGACTGCCCTGCCCAGGCATCCCTTGGCCTGTGTGCTTAGGTCTGGCTGAGCGTTGGTTGGTTTGAACTGTAAGCACTCAAGTAAGATGGGCTCCTAATGATACCAGCGGACTCTTCATCCCTTTGAATGAGGCAGGAATGAATTGTTTGTGTTCAAAAGTTCTAATTTTTTGGAGGAAAAGTTAGAGTTCCTATTGCTTAAAAAATTGAGATCATTTCTTAAAATGATTTAGAGGTAATAAGTTGGGATAGATTTTTGTTCTCATCTCTCATATGTTGTGCAATAAGAAATGGTTACCCTGGTACTTGATTTTCTCAACATTTTTCATATCAGTTATAATGGAAACAAACCAGTTTCTCAAATAGAAGAAATTCCTCTCTCTGTTAATTGGGGCTGAGAGACCGGGGTACTGCCTGAGAGAATGTTCCATGCCTGTGGGCATTCCCTTCTCTATGGGACATTCTTGACATCCTGTCTTTCTGAGTCCCCAATACAATGAGAGTGGAGCTGCATCTGGTTTGGCTGGGAAAGTGTTTCACTGAGCTATACCGCAATGCCTGGTCCACTGCTTGTTGGACTCCTGTGTTGGGCTCCCAGGGATGGTACTTTCAGAATGGTGATCTCATAGGTCAGACTGTAATCTGAGGAATGGTTTTTCACAGGGAACTTCTGGGGATGCTGCAAATCCTTTCCCCGTGCCTTCTTTGCCAAATGGTAACTCTAAACCAGGGAAACTTCAAGTGAAGCGTAGCAGGTACGGCTGCAGCCACTTCATTTTCTCCTTTCGCTGCATGAGCTCGTCTCCTGCCACTGCCCCTCCCCGCACAATCTCTTTCGCTTCCCTTTTCATTGAGCCTCTCTGCCCTCCCACCCCTTAAGTCTTCTTTGCATGACTTGCCTGGGTCTAAGTAATTTCAGTCCCATCCTTCATTTTTCCTTCTTTTTCAGGCAAGCAGCTGATTTTCACTTGAAGGAGGCCAAAAAGTTGAAGGACAAAGCAGAGACAATGGTCAGTCTTGGCTCCTTCTCCTGCTGGTAGAATGTTTTCTGATTGAAATTTGGGGACTACAGTTTAATGAACTGGACAGTCAGGAGATTAATGATTGTCTGTAGAGCAAACATGAGGTCTTTTTGGAGTTACTTTCTTTCTTTCTTTCTTTTTTTTTAAATTTATTTTCATTGGAAAGGCAGAAATTCAGAGAGTCAGAGATATAGAAAGATCTTCCATCTGCTGGTTCACTCCCCAAATGACTACAACATAGCTGAGCTGATGTGAAGCCAGGAGCTTCTTCTGGGTCTCCCACACAGGTGCAGGGTCCCAAGGCTTTGGGTCCATCCTCCACTGCTTTCCCAGGCCACAGGCCAGAGAGCTGGATGAGAAGTGGAGCAGCCAGGATTAGAACTGGTACCCATGTGGGATCCCAACATATGAGCACATGCAAGGCAAAGATTTAGCTGCTAAGCTATCGTGCCAGGCCCAGTGGGGTTACTTTCTTAGGTCCCATTGGTTTTCTGGCCACGGGTAAATCTGTCAAGCCTGGACATAACTTTTTTATCTACACATGTGAAAGGTAATCCACATGGTGGTGATTTTATATATGCGTACATTTTGTGTCATTGCATTTTTTGGATGTGGCAGTGAGTCCTTCTCATTGAGGCAATTTGTCTTTGACCTGAAACATTTCACAAATGAAGGAAACCTGTTTGCATTCCAAAATTATCAAAGACTTTGAGAGACTTACGTGTAAAGGCTTTTGTTCATTGAAGCTGATGTTTGTACTTGTTGGTAAACATGCTTTTAGAACACAGCCTCTCTGCCTGTCAGTTTTTGGACTTTCTGGAAGATGATGGGATTTTTCTTACTGATTGCAGACATAAATAATGCGTTTACATCTCTCCTGTAGTGTGAGATAACGTTCACCCTTTGTCATAGTCAGGCATTCAAGATGCTGGGACTGTTATTTACTGAGTATATTCCCCACATCATGCCCCTGCAGATGCACCATACTCCCTGGAAAGCCGTGTTGAACTTTGGTCCCACAGGAGAAAGGTCGCAGTAGCCTTTATCCTTCCAGAAGTGCTATGTGGAGATCCTGGCCGCTCTGCAGTGATTGCATCTGTTTTCACACAGGCTAGGGAGGGGACAACTGAGATTCCTCAGGTCCCCATTCATTGCACAAACGGCTTATTGGAGCTTACCAGGCTGGACACTAAAAGGAATTCAAACATCAGCTGTTCTAGGCTGCCCCTTAAAGCTACCCTGTACCGCAAGCCAGGGCACACTTACCCACCACCTACCTCCATGGTGAGTGTGCAAGATGTTGCTGTATCTCCGAGTCTTTGCTCTTTGGGAAAGAGTACACATGTAGCACCATCAGTTGTCAAAGATTTTGACATTGGACTTTAAGCACTAGAGACCCTCATTATTTAATTTAAAAAAAAAAAGATTAGATTCCAGGGAACTTTGTTTTATTTTCATAATATTCTCCTTCATTGTATAATGTTTCCAGAGGCTGTCCACTTTGGGTTTCAGATGTACACTACCAAGAATACAAGAATGCATTTTAGATTATGTTTATTGTGGAGTTAGAGACATTAAAACTCTACTGCTTTTGACACTATTTCATTAGATGTTCAGTTAACCACAGGAATCATTGGTAGCTTCACAAAATCCATGTTATAGCTCTCGTTAGGAAGTGTATATTGACGTATTGCTGTGTTACATTGTAGTTTCTTTTGTTTTCTGCCTGACAATCTGTGTTCACTTTGAAAAGCTTTGACAAATGAGATGGTTATAGATAAGCACATTTCTAGAATTAGATTCTCATTAATGAAGTAGTCCAGTTGTGCACTATACCACTTATTGAGGCATGTTAATTTGATTTTTATTCTTTCTGTCACTAATTTTTTGAGCCTCAGTTCTCTAGGGGAAAAAATTAAGTTACTTAAGGGCAGGAGTTTGGCAGTGTAGGTGGGATACTGCGTGGTCCAGCCGTACCCTGCATCAGAATGCCTGGGTTGGGATCTGGCTCCGTTCCCGTCTGCCTGCTAATGTGCGCTCTGGATTCACTTCCAGGCTCTGCTCATTGGGGAGTGAACCAGCCAGGGGGAGGTCTTGCTTTGTCTCTGTCTCTTGGCCTCTTAAGCAAAGCAAGAACTTTTTAAAATGGTTATTAAAAACTTAAAAATTTAGAGTAATAAGATTGAGTAAATGTATTAAAAGATCCATTTATTTCATTGTGAAGTACTTTATATTTATAAATACACATAAAGCACATTTCTGTGAACTTTTGGAAAGTGTTTCAAATACATGCGCATGGATATGTGTTTGTACATCAGCCCTGCTTACCCCCTTCCTTGAAACACAGAAGCACAGTGAACGCCCGTGATTGTAGTCCACTTGCCTGACGGAAGAGACTTATTTTTTTTTTTTGCCTCGGTTTTCCAGACAGATGGCAGCCTCAGCATGTCTTACTGGCCTGTCACTATTTGCTTATATTCGACTTAACTTCTTCACTGTTTTCCTCCTTTTTGAATACATCAAATGAAGTATCAGCAAGAAGAGCAAGCTTGTGTGTTTCTGTGTTAATCAGTTGCTCTATTTGGTGTGGTACAAGTATCACATGTCAAAACTGAGTCGCACATTACGGTCTGTCTCTGCACTGGCTGCGTGCCTTCAGAGAGGGAGCAGTCAGTGGTGAAATGTGTATTCAGGTTTAGGATGACAAACTAGTGTCTGATTGCACTGGAATTATATCCCTGTTGACCCGGGGAGATAGCCTTAACTAAACCTGGGCACCACAGGAGATGAAGCTGTGGGCTCTAAAGTGCCTTCAGAAGAAGGTTGTTGGATCTTGTATCTAAGATGCTCACACAGTGTAACTGCTCTAGATGCGTAGAACAACCTCTTTCTCAAGAAAGTTACATTGTGAGTGAATTCGTGGAACCAGGAGAGTCTGTTTAATCACTGCCTTATCTTCATAAGATTCTGAGAGAGTAGTCTTAGTACAGGAGTTTTTCTTTTTAGCAACCGAGTTCTTGCTGAAAGAAATGTTTGATCAGGACAGAGCTGACGGCTTTGGGTATTTCTCATTTTGCATTAGTTAATTCTCACACTTCTCTCTCAATATAATTGAAATAAGTACGTTTAGGGAGGTGACAGTGAACAATATGGGAGAAAAAAACTGGAAGAGCCTCACTGAGGCCTGACACTGCTGTGTTCTTCTCCTGCAGACGGACAAGGTTGGCAAGGCTTTTAAGTACCTGGAAGCCGTCTTGTCCTTTATTGAAGGTGGGATTGCCACGGAGTCCGAGAGCCCGGCGTCCAAGTCTGCCTACTCCGTATACTTGGAAGCAGTCGATCTTGTTAAGTAAGCATCGAATCCGTTCCTCTCCCCTGGCTCTAGGGCCTCCCTCCTCGCCTTTCTGGCAATATTCTGTTTTCCCCCCAGGACAGTTCAGTAACTCATAGTTGTTGTTCCCTAAAATTATACTGCCAAAGAGGTGCCAACTCAAAATAACTAGGTCCGGTTATGTTCTTCTGCCAAGTGTCTGAGCAAAGCCGGGCTTCCCGAGGTGGCTTTCTCCTCAGATGCCCTCACAGCTCAGTTTCAGCCACCTTGTTATTTGCCTCCGTTTCCCCAGGGAACTCGGGAGGGACCACGCTCTGTGTGCCTCAGGAGGTGGACACAGGCCACAGAGGGGACCGCCCTCGCCTCCTTCCCGAGCAGCCCGGGCTCTTCCCTGTCTTAATCTCACATCTTCACATGTGCAGTTTCACTGTGGAACTAAGACAAACATAGGAAGGTGCATTGGTGGCTGGGATTTTCTAACTATGCATGTGTAAGCAAATGTTACTTTCATGTTTTCCTGTAGGTTCATAATGTCATTAAAATCCTTTTCAAGTGCCACATCCCAGGAGAAAATATTTGCTGTTTTATGGTGCGTAACTTTCCTTTACCTAAATAGTATTCCATTTGTCTTTGTATTTTTGTGTCTTCTGATGAAATGTGTTTTTGTGATGTGGAAATTATGAAAGGCAAGTCACCCCCTTGGTCAAGGGGTTAATGGCGCTGAGAGTTAAAGATTCTGAGGTCATCTCTCCTGCCATGTCACTGATGATTTGATTAGTAAATACCTGGGTCCAAATTAAAAAAAAAAAAGTTCCTGGGTCTCGTGGTTTAAATGAAACCTTTATGTACTTGGGTTTTTCCTCTAGCATTTATGTGTCTGAGTAGTGCAGCAAGATTCTTGCAATATACTTCCTTGTGTAAATGAGGAAAATTCAGTGTATTCAGTAGGCTGCGAAGGGTTAGATGACCGTGGCTAATAAGGACTTTGTTTCAACTTCTGTTTTTGCTCATAGCCTACGATGCCAGTCTGTTTTGAATATGGCGATGTTTCGATGTAAAAAAGACATAGCAATAAAGTATTCTCGAACTCTTAATGAACACTTTGGCGTCAGTTCCTCCAAAGTTGCCCAGGCACCTTCTCCATGCATCGCAAGGTAAGTAAATCTAGATAATTTCCAAAATCGAGTGTGTTTTTTATTTCTTGCTTTTGCAGTCACTTGTATAAATGAAGGATAGATGAGGGCACTCAAAAAGTTCATAGAAAATTGGATTGGAAGACAAGTATGGGTTAGGCATTGTGGCACAGCTATTGCTTGAGATGCCCACATCACATATAAGAGTGTCTGGTTCAAGTCTGGATACACCATGTGTTTTAGCCAGTTTCCTCTGAATATGCCTGGGAGATAACTACCAAAGGCCCCATGACTTGGGGTCCAGATGGAGATCCTGGCTCCTGAGGTCAGTCTGGCCTAGCCCTGGTTCTTGCGGGCATCAGGAAATGAAATGAATCTTCCAATGGATAGAAGATTAGTATCTGTAGTTTTACCTTTTAGAAAAATAAAAAGTATTAAAGGTTCGTTGCTGCAAAAGACATTTAGAAGTCCATGCATTGGATCTGTAATATGTCATGAAATATGCGTTTTCCATGAGCTTTCTGAAGACCCCTTGTGTATATAACTTTAACTTTGAAAAATTACTTGCTACATTTATGTGTGTACTTATTTGTTGTTTGAACTTGAATCCTTAGTATATGTTTTTCTTTTTTGAGAAGTGGCTATAAATTGGAGATTTTGCTCATTGGATTATATTAAGCAATGAATAAGAATCTATATTTGAGAGCTTTGGAGATCTTTAGTTAATGCTTACGGCCCACAAAGCAGCTAGATGCCTAGCCGACAGCACCAGGGCCAGTCTTTGTCTCTCCGTATGACATGTCTTCTCGGCCTTTCAGTAAACAAGCACTTTCCGTAACTGCCTGCCCCCTACCTCCAGAAACCATACCAGTCACACCACAATGAATACAGTTGTCTCCAGCAAAAATGCTTTCTACACTTTGTGAACCAAAGTTGTTCGCTCGCTATTATGGAAGATGTTATAAAACATAATCCACATCCAAGCATATTTAAAAACGAAGCTGGAGTTTTCTTCCCTATAGTGCCTGCCTTGTGTTTTCTTTAATTTGGCCATACTCCCTCTGAAGTTACCAGTTCAGATAGATTTTGCTATTTTGAGAATATCACTTAGAAGACTGTCCCATTTCTTGCACATTTAAAAGAGGAGACTCCCATATTGCCTCTCAAAAATGGAAAACCCCCAGTGGAGAAGTGCCTTCTACCTCTGAGCATTTTTCCGGCTCCTGCTTCTCAGATCATATGCAAAGCCAGGTGAGAGGCTGTTAGTCACATTTTTAGACAGCTCCTTTGCCAGTGCATACACACGTCAGGCACCCCTCTGTGCCGTCAGCACTGTTCTAGGTACCAGGGCTGTGGCAGGAAGCAATGCAAGCAGGAATCACTGCCCTTGTGACACTTTTCTCTCTAGGTCTTGACAGTGTATTCTCCTGGGCATGTGGCCTGGAGCGGGTGGCACATCAGTTGACTGCTGCCAGCTCACCCCTCCATCTCCAGTCCACTTTTTTTTTTAATCCATTTTTTTAAACACTTAGGTGACTTCACTTGTCTTTCTTAATCAGTCCACATTGAGACACTAATATTTTTCTCATGTTGTGATATACTGAGCCTAGAGGACAGATGATGTTGAATTTCTAAGGTGCTAAGTACCAGGGGTGCCAGGATTAATATGACATGGTCTCTGCCTTCAATGGCTATGACCCAGAAGGAGGACTAGAAGATAAATACAAGAACTAAGTTCTTGTGGTGGTAGGAGGGAAGCTGTAATAAATGCACAGTGCCCACAAGAGTGCCAGGGCCTGAGTCAGTATCCAGCCAGTCAACAGTGAGTGGATGAGGGCGTGAACTTCAGTATGGAGTAAACTTTTACTGGAGTAAGTTGGAATGGGGTATGGTAAGGGGGAAGTGTCCAGCAGAGGTAGTTGACTGCAGATGACATCGCACAGTATGGGTATGAATTAACCTGTTAGGATATCTCGTGAGCTTGTAGAAATGACTTCAGCATTGTCTGCCATTTGGGGATTACACTGAGACTTTTCTAACTTGGACTGTGGTTCTAGAGACCCAAAATATGTGGTCTGTGTGTCTAGGCTATTAACCAGTTCTCTTCCACCTTCCAGAAGCACAGGCACACCATCCCCTCTCTCCCCAATGCCTTCTCCTGCCACCTGTCTTGGGTCCCAGTCAAGTGCTGGCAGTGTGGGGAGCAGCGGGATGCCTGCCACCATCAGTACTCCTGTCACCATCCAGAACATGACATCTTCTTATGTCAGTATCACCTCCCACGTCCTTACCGCCTTTGACCTTTGGGAACAGGCCGATGCCCTCGCAAGAAGGAATAAAGGTAAATGGGGTGTATGGTGGTGGTCACTGGGATATGAGGACCAGGAGGGAATATTACCATTGGTTTGTATTTTATGTCCTATTTCTTAAAGGAAAAGAGATGCATAGCTGTCTGTTCTTGAGCTTCTGACTCATAACATAATTGTGATTTTTCTGTGAGCTCTGTAGCGTGGGGCTGGAATTATGCACCTTGATCTCAACAAGAGCAAATGAAAGGCACCTTGAGCCTCTGGCCCCTCCCAAGGCCAAGTGCCCTTACTTCAGCCTGAAATGCTGGCCACAGACAAGGCCAACACAAGGAAAGGGCCAGTGCATGGGCTCAACACACTTGAAGTGTGAAATAGCCTAACACCAATACTAAGTTTGCTCGGCTTGTTTTCTGAGTATATGTGAAGGGAGATGGTTGGCTGCAGTGTGAGAAACTCAGTACAGTGAATATTCTTGAGAATTGTTTTGAGGAAACGTCCCATGGAAGCTCCAAGCTCTAGAAGAAGTAGAGCATATAGTTCAAGAAACTGCTCGGTGGCACTGCCCAAGGCCACAAGGCTGTTGCACGTGGATGCCAGCCTAGCTGACCACTGTGTAGTTGTTCCTTGTTGCCAGTAAGGCTGCCGGCCACTGGCTGCAGGCACCTAATCTCCCACAACCTCACAGAGCTTCGTCTCTCAGCAAGCTAGCATTGTTTTTTTTTTTTTTTACATGTTTTTACTTTTTTATTCACACATTGATTGGTCCAAAAGGATGTGTGAAGCATTTCTAAGTGCTAATCATTGTGCTGCCATTATGGATTCAACTCCAAGCCCGATTCCCACCTTTCCAGTTTACGCAGGAGATGTGAAGAACTGACAGGCAGTGTCAGTGGTGTGTGGGATGTGGGATTTTCTTTATTTTTGGCTGTGATAGTTGAAATAGGGGATTTATGGGGACCCGGTTTCTGGAACCTGGATTTTTGTTTCCATTTTTATCCCTGTATGTACAAGTCTATTGACATGGTTTTGGTTTGGTTTTCTTTGTAGACTTTTTTACTCAGCTCAGCACAAATGTGGGCCCCTTGGCCCTCAACAGCAGTTTGGTGGATTTGGTGCACTATACAAGACAGGGGTTTCAGCGGCTCAAACAAATAACCAAAACACCTTAATGGAGGCCCAAATTGTTTCGATGCCTTGGAACCTTTTTTTGCACATTGGAAGCCTCCGATCCAGTCTGGACATCTGTCTCTTCAGGACTCCGAACTTGAGCACCATGAGATGGCCAGGACATTTGTCCACTTAAATTCTCAAGACCTGTGTGATCATTGCTGGGACGTATGGTTATGCAGAAGCAGAGATGAGAAGGGCAGTCAGCCGCAGAGATGATCTTGCCTTTCCTGACTGAGGAACAGAAGTGCAATGCAGCCGATCGGGCACACGAATGGTCTGGAAACATTTCTGTGTGTGTGTTTTTTTAAAAAAAGAAGAAAAAAAAAAACCAGCAGGATGCAAATTGTAAATGAAGTGAGAAGCAGCAATTTCAGCTCTGAAAAATTCACATCATCTCAGTAGCCATTACTAGTCCATTCCCAGAAGAAAAAAAAAATTTTAGATAATGAATTTTGGTGAAGGGTTTTCTGGATGATTTTTAAAAAACATTTTGTGAGGAATATTTGTGTAATACATTCTGATTGCCGACTGTAAAGCATAAGGTTGTAAAGGACTCCACTCTGTCCCGCTTTCTGCCAACAAATAGTGGTTTTGATAATACCTGGTATTGTCGTATGACATTGAAGGTGGCCTTCCTTGCATATTCCCCTGGCTCTGATTTCTTGTTGACTGTGCCACCTTGAGGGGCACCATCTCGGGATCACCCAGGACATGAAGGACATGGTTCTTCCATTCCCAGGGTGTGCAGAAACATCTCTTCTCCCTCCCTGACTTCAGTAAAGCAGTTGTCATTGGCCACGTTCTAAATTTCCAACCTTGGCAAAGAAGGCAGTCGACATTTAGATCTGATGAGATGGATGGAATGCTGGAATTTGAGGTGCTGTGTGGTCTACAGTTAACATGGTAACTCTAATGTGTCTAACCAACCAACTCAGTGTTTTGGTAGTGAACAAAGGAAAAAAGTCTACTTCTTAGAGAGGCTATATTTTTCTGCTATAATTTGTTTTATATTTATAGCAAAACTAGACCTTCTAAGCCCCTCATTGTCTAGGAAAATTAATTCCCTGAGAGGATATGGAGATTTGGGGGGATCAACTAGACTTTTAAAAAGTTGTCACCACATGCCTTCACTCCAGAATGTTCTTGGTCAACTAGATTTGATTGTGTTCAAGAATTATGGCCTTCCCGTTAGGTGTTGCCATACTATGTTTATTAGACCAAGGTCGTTCTGAATGACATGGAATGAAAGAACAGAATTAGAATTTCCTTGTGCCCATCAGCAGATTTTCTTTTTCATCAAAACTTTGAAGGTTGTTAACTTTGAATGCATTTTTTTCTGACAACCAGTTATTTTTATCCCTTCTAGAGAGTAGAATTTGCACATGTATTAAAAATGAGGAGTGTGTATTGTCTAAGTGGTTAGTGTCTCCCGGCCCCCTCCCCCCCTTGTGACCCTCTCCATGTTATTTTCCACCAAGCATGTTTCACACTTTGATGTTTATTTATTATAAAGAAGGGAGAACATCTGTATTTATGCTGGAGACATCTGAGGTTCCTATAATGAATGTAAGAGCATTCTTGATAGTTTGATGATGATATAAAGAGGACGGGGCACTGTATGTTTGTCACAGTGAGAATTGGTTGTGTGGAGCCCTTCAGTCTCTTCTCCAGCTAAGCGTAATACCTTGGTATGTGACCCTGATGGCCTCATATCATTTACTGATGCTCTCAAGCAAAGCAATATTCTTTTTCAATGTATTAGCCTAAAAAAAAAAAAAAAACAAAAAAAACCCTCTAGTTTCAAGAACAATAATTGCCTGACAGGTGGCGTGCTTATAGCATTGTGTGTTCGTCTGTGCACGTAGGGGGCAAGGCACCAGAATCAGGGCTGTGTGATTGTTCTAGCATCTTCCTTTCTCCTTCCTCTCGGGGCTCTTCCCTCCTCCTTGGCTGTTGCCACTCCTAAAAACAGATACCTGCCGGCCATTAAGACTTAGGTTGGTTCCCTAGCCAGGCTTTCATCTATGCAGATCGCGCACACAAGCCTGTGTTCAAGGCACCACAGTGCTCCCAGACTACAGCTATTATCAAGTAGATCTCTCAGCTCGTTCTAAAAGAACAAATCATGTTTTCCATGGCCTTATTTTTCATTCTTTCTGAGCTCTGTTTTAAAATTTCATTTGTCCCTTTAAAAACTAACCAATTCAGACAGGTCAGTCTGTACTGTTTTGTGATTGGACATTTCTTACTCTTATGGCCATACTCAGTGTACCTGAAAGAGTTTCTAGTGTCTGCCTTTCGAACAGTCTGCAAAAGGTAGTGCCTGCTAAAGCCTCAGTGTTTAAAAGTCTTTGTTTGTTTGTTTGTTTTACAGTTATATATAGAAACCTTAAGGACTTTTTAAATCATTTGCACTTTCCACTTCAGGCTTAAAATTTCCAAAGGTAAATTTTATATACCGAGGTAGATAGTTTGAAAGGATTAGAAAATTATACCATGTTATAGATGAAAATCTTGTCAATATTAACAGTGCACACTTTCACAGACAAATACAAAATATCTTAAAGAATGTGAATAGTGTAAGTCTTGTTACTCGCACTATAGGAGTGTTCGTGTGTGTGTGTGCCTTTTAAAAGTGCTGACACTTTGTGTCTTTCCTCAAGATAATTATTAAATTTGTGAAATTGTGAATTTAAAAATCCCTGCTAAGTAATGAAACACATTGTTGAAATTTACTACATGTTGCTGGGTTAAGATCGTAAAAACCCAGGAATTGTGTTGGTCAAGAGCCAAGGGGTCCAGCAAGTAGTTTGCAGGACTCAATTACAGTAGTAGAAGAATTTGACTACCAATTGGGCAAAACGTCTGATTTTTTTTTTAAACACGTAGATTTTTTTTTCTTATAGATTTGTTTTAGCCACAATTTGTAGCTATTTCTCCTAGACAAGATGGAGCATATGTTGTTCCCTTGTTCCATATTCTTTCATTATAAATCTCAGGATGTTTATACACCAACAGCCTCTACCCCCTTCTGGCAGAAACTTGCCTTACTTTGATACCTTATATATTAATGATAGAAAAGTCAGGAGTTTAAAATTATGATTTTGTTACGTAACTTTTGGAAGGAAAAAAACCCCATTTTGTCTTCCATAATGAACAAAACATATGCCTGATATATAAGAGGAAACACACATACACACACACTTACACAGTTCCTAGAAATTAAACTGGATTTATTTTTTGTGCCTTTATTGAGCAAACCCAGTTTTGAAATAATGCATGTGCATTTTTCCATCGCTTCAGTTGGTACGATGCTGGTCTTGCATCTCCTCGTCTTCTTTATGTGCATCTTACAGGGACTGAACCAAAAGTTGGATTGAGGTTGGACATTCTGAAAATGTGTTTTTAAAAATCCACTTGCCTCTTACTACAGATCCTCCATCCTTTTTCCTCAATGATTTTTTTCTCAAACACTACAAGACATCTCAGAAAAACTTTGCCACTTCATCCGTCATACTCTGAGCAGTGATGAGCAGTGTTGAAATCTTGAGAGAACATTCTGGACTTCTTTTAGGAACACAGAGTTACTGATTCCCCACAGCAGCCGCAGAGGGAGGCCAGCATCCATTGTGCAGGAATGGTTCTCTGTCCTTGTTGTTCTGGCAGTTGCCTGTTGTTGCTTTTGGTCTCATTTAGAACAAACGGATAGGAAGTGGTTTCCTGCGCCTTTCTTTGCAGAGGGGGAGGCACGCTGGCAGAACAGGATGGCGTTGGGGATTTTCCTGCCAATGTGGCAGGTGGTGTTTCTGTGGCACACAGTCCGATTGGGATTAGTTTCTTGGTCTCTGAGAAATCCTTTCCCCTCCTGAATTGTGAACACTGGCCATGCTTTCCGGTTCTTATTTATGGTGGACTGACAAATAGCATTTACCACTTCCCTTTAGGTGACTATCGGTTGCTCCTTGTTTTGGGGGAAGCCATGCTATGCTCTGTTCTGATCTGCTTCAGACAGCACTGAGTACTAGTGTGGGTGTAATAGTGTCTATCTTTCTCTGCCTAAGAGGGAGCCTGGGAGGGCAGGAAAAGAACCCTAGAGATCACTTGAGCCAGTCTGGCAAGACATTGGCCTGGGAAGACAAGGGAAGATTCCCACTGACTGCGCGGCTGGCCACGTTGCACCATCAGGGGCATTGGCCAACCTAAGCCAGAGAACTTGTTTTGCTTCATTCGTAGTGACACTCAGCACAGGCAGTATTAACTTTGCCTTTCGTTCAGGCCATCTACATGTATTGTTAACATTACTGCACATCTGCCCTTGGATACCAAGTGCACACTCTTCATGTTGGGCTGTGCGTGTATGTGTACATGTGTCTCCCAAATCTTGGGGTTTTCTGTTTTGTTTGTATTTTTTTTCTCCTTTTTTTTTTTTTTTCTTGAATGTGATGATGTTTTGGATGATACCTGAGCAGGGTTACCTTTTTTTATTTATTACCATTATATATTATATTATATTATATATTTTTGCTTTCTTACAACATTAGAGGAAAGTTAAATCTTCATATTAATAAAATTGTTTTTAAAAAAGAAATAAATTGTCCAGTTGATAAATGAAAATCACTGGTGTATCTTTAATGAGTTTTCTTTAATGACTGTGGAATAATGTGCCAGCTCTTGTCAACACAATGATTTTGTATGTCGGATAGGAAAGCCGTGATGGTTTTAACAGGAAGCTGTGCAAGGCGGATTAATAGGGAGAACTCCCTGCAGATGTTCTCCTTCGGCAGTGAAATTTTCAACTTGGGGCTTTTGTGAATAAAATTTAGCTGCCTTGTATAATCCTTTGAAAGAGACAGGTGATCTGTGAGAGAGTTATAGTTTCTTTTTAGAAGAAAAATTTGCAAAAGATCTTTCCAAAGATAATGTGCCACAGATCTTTTGTTTGTTGTTCTCTGTAATGAAGATTAAATGCTGTTTAAAAAAAAATGGACTTGTTCATCTTGAAATTTTTCTTTCTATAAAAGGATTGAGCTGTGTAAAAAAAATAATAATAATAAAAGTTTAGAGAAATCATTGGTCTTGAATTCGTGCTTTCATGATGCCTGAGTAAAATGTGCTTAAAATTGCCAAGGAATGTTTCACATGGAATATTGTGTGCTCTTATTCATGACATGTGTATGTTGTTGAAACAGCCCTGTACCTCGGTGGTTTCATGAAATCGGAAAGGCCCCAGGTGCTGAGAGATGAGTTCCTGGATTTGAGTGCAAGTTGTTGACTGTGCTCGTCCTGGGAGCCGGCACTTGCTCTCCTTAGGTGTCTGTGCTCTTCTTGGCTTTCTACTCAGTAGGATAGCGAGGATCACATGAGCTACATGGAGGATACTTCGCTGGCTTCCTGGAAAAGGTCAGTTACCCAACCCCTGTGGCTGTGTGTACCCCCTCCTCTGCCTGCGCTGTGACATCCTGACTGCTGACCCTGTGCCTGAGCAGGGAGAGAACACTCACGGCCTGTGCCTCATCACCCCGCATCATTCACCCTTCCTGCGTCAGCTCAGGCTCCATTTGGACTGGTCCTGTTGAATAACCAGGTTTGTAGTGAAGTTAGCAGTACCTTTTGTACAGGAAGTGCAGTGGCAAGTATGGCAAAAGTATATTTCTTCTGATTGAAAATTTATAGGGAAGATACTAATTTGTAATCAGACTTGAAAGATGGGTTATCATATCTCTTCTAAATATTTAATGTTTCCTACTAAACACTTTCCATGGGCTATCTCACAACACTTTAAATGTCAGTGGTAGACTTCCAGGTAGGATTTTGTACCAATTTGTGTAGCCACCTATTAAGGAGATTTCCATGACTGTTCCTGAAACAAGATATTGGGCAAAGTGGATGAAGATATTTTCATATATATCTGCCACTTAGTGTCAACAGTGAACCCTTCAGCATGTTAATCTAATGTGTGCAACCGTGCTGAGTAGGCGGTTGCAGGTGTCTGGCTGGTTTTCTGCATCTGTGTCTCAGGACACTTCCAGTGTAGCTACCCGTTATAACATCCAAGAAAATTGCTCATTGTCTCAAGTCAAATCAAGTTTTGTGCATTACACTCGGTTGTTACATCACTTTGATCCATTGATTTGGAGCAATTCTTCCCCCAACGTTTTTTATTTTAAAAGATTCATTTACGTGAAAGAATGGTAGATGCCTACAGACTAACTTGTTCCCCAAAAGGGCCACAACAGCTAGCTCTGAGCTCAGCCAAAGGCAAGGGCTGGGAGCTCCGTCCAGGTCTCTGCCATGAGAGATTGGCTACATTAGCAAGTATTTGCCGTAAGTCAGGAGGTAGGTCCAGTTTGAGTCTTTGCTTAAGATGCGGTCACCAGATTTCTCCGTTACTATAAGCGGGCTTTCCCTTGTTGCCTGTACTCGGGCAGTTCCCAACTCATTGGGAGCCAGGGAATGGAAGGGATGTATTTTATAAGCTTTTGTTGTGAACTTGGCAATGAGAGTAGAGTCTGCCTCAAAGTATTATGCTCTGAAAAAGAAGGGGGAGGGGGAAATCCAGAGAAGTGGCTTTTCTATTTACATTTCTTCTCATCCAATGAATACTTTCTTCTCACATTTTAAGTTGCCGTTTCAGTTGCATAGGTTTCAGACCAGACAGTTCAAGCACCAGACTCGGCAGGTGAGGGGAAGCTTGTGTTCGCTTAGATCATGGAGGACAACTTCTCTAGGAAGAATGCTGTTAACGGAGGAGGGAGGGGATGCTAAGCAGCGAGGAAGAACAGGTGATCCTGGCGGGCCACAAAAGGCTTCCCTTCCCTTTAGATTTCTGTATTCCAGATAATAGCCATTTATTGTGTCACCAGTATTTCTCTTTTCCTTCTTGGCTGTGATTGTGTTTTAGTTTTACAGGAAGACATTCACCTTCCAAAGCCCTTGGGATTTCCACTCCGTTCATCACAGGTGAGTGAGGGCAATTTGCCAGATTCTGCGAGGTGAAGCATCGTCTGCCTCCGTGCTCTCTACGTCCTGGTCTGTCAGCCTGTAGTACCAGAATTGGTATTTGTTCTCCACGTTAGCGGGCTTGGGAAACATCACAACCCAGACGACTTTTAGTTAAGTCATCTGTGTGCAGCTTACAGCCTTCAAATCCACTTGAAAGCCCAGTGGGTCATCACCAGAGGCTTAGCTGCTGTCACTTTTGTTCCGATTAGATCATCGGGCTGTCTAGCCTGTTTTGTCTTGGAAAAAGGACTCCTAGTGGCTGTGGTTTCCCAGTAGACCACACTTAGCTGAAAGCAACACTTTGGTGAGACACTAAGACTCTGCTAATAGAGGCCTTTGCCCCTCTCACAGACTGGAAGGAGGGCCTTGAAATACTTTCCAGACTATTCTATTTTGGCTTTAAAAGGCTGTGTGCCTACTCATGATAAGTGCTTTAAATCACCCTTCTCTGCTCCTCGGGCCCCATCCTCACATCTCGTCCACCTTACTTCATGTGTAGGAGGAAGAAACAACCATGGGTTTGCATCTCCTAGCTGCTGGACATTCCTGACAGCTGTCCCCTGGGCAGCTACAAACCCCTTCCAGCAAAAGGCAAAAACTCGGGCCATGTGTGTGTGTCTTCCTACTGTTGAATGTGGAAAGCTAATTGACCCTCCCCTGAAATGACTGTAGGAAGATGCCTGAAGTTGACTGTGCACCTAGCTACTTTTTTGTCTGTGAAGACGCTCCTTGTTTCGTCCGATGGGGCACCTAGCATTATAGCGGAAGACTTCACCTCAAAGAAGCAAGTGACCTGCTGAGGTAGCTGATAGGTCCCCCCGCCCACATGAACTTGCAACAGTTACCTTGGTTACTGTTTTAATTTTGTTTTGAAAAAAGGGAAAGCAAAAAGCCTCCAAAAGCCCAACAGTCTGCACGGGGTCAGCTTGAATCCAGGAGCTTCCCCACATCTCCAACATGGATGCCAGGGGTCCAAGCCCTTGGGCCAAGCTCTACTGCTTTCCCATGTCCTCAGCAGGGAGCTGGATGGGAAGTGGGGCAGCTGGGAGTAGAACTGGCACCTGCATAGTATGTTATTATCTAGGTGGCAGTTTTACATTCTATACTATACCACAATGCTAGCCTCTACACTTTTAAAAATTGTTTTTAAACTGATTTTGAAACAATTGTGTGTGTTAGGGCTTGAGGGGGAACCTAAAATCTTTGAGGCAAAAAAGGGAACAATTCTACTTTGTTCTTTCTCAAATCTAACAACCATTAAGTCTGATACATCTCCTTAAACTTGTAGATCTATCCTCTATATCAATCATTTTTGTTGTAAAGTACTGTGTCATGAGATATGCTACCGTTTAAATACTATCGCATTATGGGCACAGATCCCCTCATCCAGTATTGTCATTAAAAGTCATGTTGGGGCCCGGCTCGGTAGCCTAGTGTCTGAAGTCCTCACCTTGCACACACTGGTATCCCATATGGGTGCCAGTTCTAACCCAGTGGCCACACTTCCCATCCAGCTCCCTGCCTGTGGCCTGCGAAAGCAGTCGAGGAAGGCCCCAAAGCCTTTGCACCCTGCACCCATGTGCAAGACCCAGAAGAGGCTCTGGGCTCCTGGCTTTAGATCAGCACAGCTCTAGCTGTTGCATCTGCTTGGGGAGTGAATCAGCAGATGGGAAATCTTCTACTCTGTCTTTCCTCCTCTCTATATATCTGCCTTTCCAATAAAAATAAGATAAATCCTTTTTAAAAAGAAGTAATGCCATACTAAACGAATCTTGGCACATACATCTTTGTGCATTCTGAATCTGTAGGATAAAGTCCTTAAAAGGGGGAATGTTTGGGGCAATGTACAGCTAAGTTTAAACATTTTTTATTTTACTAAACTACCTTTATTAGCAGTAGTGGATGAACTTAAATATTTTTTTAAATGGATCATTTATGGTTAAAACAATACATTCTTTCCAAGAAAAGCAATGTTATTATAGTGCAAAAGACCACCATAACTTATCTTTAACTACAACTGAGTTCCTGTTTGCCTCTCCCATCACTGGCCAGCCTCTGGTAGCCACCACATCCTTTTTTGTGGCTAAATATTGCTTTGCTGTATATGTACCAATAAGTGCTATTTAGGTCTCTTCCATTTCTTGGCTGTTGTGACTAGCATGGCAGTAAAGGTGAGAGTGTGATGTTTCCTTGAGGGAGCGATGTCATTTACCCAGGAGAATGTCTAATACTGCTCCTGCTAGACATAGGGTAGTTTTCTTTTTAGTGTTTTTAAAGAACTTGTGTACTTTACACAACAGCTGTCCTAGTTGACACTGTCTCACATCTCTGCCACCACGTACCTGGAGTGGGCATAGCTCACTGTGGCTGTGTTGCATTCCCCTGGTGATTGGTAACGCCCCACATGTTTTCATGTACCTGTTGGCCATTTGTATCTTCCTTTGAGAAGTGTGTTTACATACACCATTTTAGACGGTGGATTATTATTCTAGTGAGTTCCCACTTTTAACCCATTATATGTGTAACTTGCAAATATTTTCTTGCATTCTAGAGGTTGTTTCATCACTCCGTTGTGTTTTTCTTTTGCCATGCAGAGGCACTTTAATCCCACTTGTCTGTTTCCACTTTTCTTTCCTGTGCTCTTGGGATCATATCCAAAAACTCCTTGTCCATTCTAATGTCCTGAAGAGTTTGTTTTATTCTAGTAGTTACAAGTCTTAATGCACTTGCAGTTGATCTTTGCAAACTGTGAGCTATAAGGGTCTGTGTATACTCTCCAGTTTTCTTAAGAGATTCATCCGAGGACTCAAGGCTATTTCAACAAATACAAATAATAATCGAAAGATTGTTCTTTTCCCATTGTGTTCTCTTAGCACTTTTGTCAAAGCTCAGTGTGCTACAGAGACACCAGTTTACTTCTAGGCTTCTATTCTGTCCCACTGACCTTAGTGACCCTTTATACCAGCACCATGCCATTTTAATCATTATAGCTTCGTAATGTATCTTATAAGAAAGTGTAGTGCCCCCCTTCCCCCCTATTTGCTTAGGGTTAGTTTGGCTATTCAGTTTATTCAGAAATTCTAGTTTTGTGAAAAATGTCATTAGTATTTTGACAGATTCTAGTGAGCGTAAATCCCTTTGGATAACATAAACACACATGGCATCTAGAACACAGAATGTCTTCCATTTGCTTGTGTTCCTTTGCAATTTCTTGTGTTAATGTTTTACAGTTGTTGTTGTTTTTTTCTTTCATTGTGAAGATGTTTCTACTCTGGTTAATTTATTCCTAGGTATTTTATTTTTCCAGCTTTTAGACTGCTTTCCTGAGGTCTTTTTTCAAATACTTTATGTTGAAGAACACAACTGATTTTTGTGCATTGTCTTCGTCTCCTGAAGCTTTGCAGAACTCATTAGTTCTCACAGTGTTATGGTGAGGTTTTCCTCATTTAATACCATAAAGTGACATTTTGGCTTCTTCCTGTCCAATTTGGATGCCTTTGTTTCTCTTGTTCTTGTTCCAGCTAGGACATCCAGTATTACCTCAAATAAAAGTGCTGAATGTCTTATTCCAGATGTTGGGATCAGTATGTTAACTGTTAACTACTGGATTGTTTTACATGGTTTATTGTGTTAAATATGATCCTCTGTAACTAATTTGGATGCTGGATTTTCATCAGATGCCTTCTCTGCATCTTTGAGATAATCATGATTATACTCCTTCATTTTGTTTATGTGACATGTTACACTGAGTGAGCTGTGTATGCTGAATTCGTGTGTTCTTGAATCCCTGGGATGAATCTCAATCATGGCAAATCATCTATTTTCTGTAATTTTGAATTTGATATTTATGTTGAGAATTTGTTCATATATGTTCATCAAGAATATTGGCCCATAACCATCTTGCCCTTGTTGATTTGGCTTCAAGAAAATGCTAACTTCATAGGATGAGTCTGAATTTGCTCTTTTCCTGTTTTTTAGAATTTTAGAATTGTTATTTAAAACGTTTGGCAGAATGAGTGGTGAAGCCATCTAGCCCTTGACTTATATTTAATGAGTGGAAGACTATTAATTACTGATTCAATCTTTTTAAGATTTATTTATTTATTGGAAAGTCAGATATACAGAGAGGAAGAGAGACAGAGAGGAAGATCATCCGTCCGATGATTCACTCCCCAAGTGACCGTAACGGCTGATGCTATGCAGATCCGAAGCCAGGAGCCAGGAGCTTCTTCCGGGTCTCCCACATGGGTGCAGGGTCCCAAGGCTTTGGGCCGTCCTCGACTGCTTTCCCAGGCCACAAGCAGGGAGCTGGATGGGAAGTGGGGCTGCCAGGATTAGAACCGGCACCCATATGGGATCCTAGCACATTCCAGGCAAGGACTTTAGCCACTAGGCCATGCCGCCGGGCCCTGATTCAATCTTTTTTAGTCATTGTTGGTCTGCGTAGGGGTTGGAGTGGTGGCCCAACCAGCTAATTCCTCACCTGTAAGCGCCAGGATCCCATATGGGCACCAGTTTGGGTTCTGGCTGTTCCACATCTCATCCAGCTCCCTGCTTATGACCTGGGAAAGCAGTAGAGGATGGCTCAAAGCCTTGGGCCCTTGCACCCACGTAGGAGACCCGGAAGAAGCTCCTGGCTCATCGTTTTGTATCAGCTCAGCTCCGGCCATCCCAGTCACCTGGGAGTGACCAGCAGATGGAAATCTGTTTCTCCTTCTCTGTGAATCTGCCTTTACAATAAAAATAAATATACAGTTTTTAAATCAATTGGTCTGCTTAGGTATTCTATTCCTGATTCAGTCTCAGTAAGGTGTTTGTCCAAAAATTTGTCCATTTCTTCTAGATTATCAGATTTGTCGCCATTTATAGGAAAATCTAACAATTCCTTGGATTTCTGTGATTTAAACTGTAATTGCTTTTTTTTTTTTTTCTTAAGAATTCTAGCTTTTCTTTAATCACTGAATTTGTCTTTACAAATAATCTCCGGACACTTCAGTTACTGTCCATCAACTGAGACATGCTCTATTTTCCTGTATGTAGCAGATTGGCTGGAATAGCAAACACAACCATTTTTAAACAATAGATCACTGCATTTCTATTTACAAAAAACCATAAATAAACATGCATTTCTCCATTTCCTGGAAGGACTTTTAGATGTTTGAACATTAAGGCAGTGATGATTCTAAACCATAAATGAAATTCTACATTAAGGCTTTCTATTTTTTTCTGAAACTTAAAATTCCATAGGAAACTGTGACCAAAGCAAACTTGCACCCTTAGGTTGAGTTCATCGGTCCAGAGCATGTCACTAACCCATTACTGACAATTCTGTAGCTGAGGTAGGGGACAATGCCGCCTGATGGATGGATCGTTCTCTTGGTAGCACGAGGGAAACCACCTTTCAGCACAGCCATTACTCTGCTTACAGGTGAAATTACGGCCTAGGATGAGAAAAAGTAGAGTTCACGTTACAGCACGGGTTTCTGTA